GCTCTAACCTCATCTCTTTCCCTTTTACTCGTGTTCTTTGTATGCCTAAGTAGCTCCAGGAAATCATTAAACGAAATTAATTGACTATGCATGTTTAGAACTCATTATATCAGTATGTGCTGAAACTTGTTGTAAATTGTTTGTTTTGTGTCCAACTGTGTAATTGTTCTTTTAAATTATTGTTAATCAATGCATGAAGGAGGTAGATGGGTTTTCCCTAGGTAGGTCTGAACATAAATAAAGGTGTTAGAAGCTGTAACAGAAAAGGACAGATGTAGTGCAGTCAAACGGAGACGAACCAAGCAGACAGAGGAGAGGGGGAAGAGGAGACGGCTCCATGGAACCATGGAGAAGGCTCTACATGGTTAGGAGCCGGCTCTTCCATGGTTAGAGCTGGCTCTAGCATGGGTGGAGATGGCTCCACCTTGTGGGAGCCTGCTCTCCTTGTGTTTATCCAGTTTTTTTGAGTTTCTACGAGTTCTGGACTGGGTTTTGACATGGCAAATGTGTGTAGGAGCTGTGAATAGGAATTGTGGTTGTTGCCTGAGATTAATTTAGGTCTTCAGAGGGCTTGTTAATGCATATTCAACCAATTAATATTATTGTTTGGAACATTATACAATTTCTAAGAAAACTAGTAAACTGTTTTGGAGATTTAGGATTTAAACTACACCACTTTAGGTGTAGCAGTTTATTTGGGAATGGAGTTAGGCTATGATTATGTTTCTGTAATGGACTATAAACATGCAGGACTATAGAATGAATTACATGCCTATAATGGATGAAAGATGTATACTTACATTAACTGTTTTATTCACTCCGGAACAATTGTGTAGTATTATAGGATAAGTATGTAAATTTGTAAAACAAATCTGTCATGCTTACTTGGATTTAATTAAGGGTTATATACATGGTCTGTATTATCCATCATGGAACTGTGTGGAGGAGTGTTGAATAGACTTGTTAAATAACAAAGTTTTAACATGTTTAATGTGAAGTAGTTGATGTTTACAATTGAGTGATTGACTGTCGATTGTTGGATATTTTGTATAGTTGATAATTACTTTTATTACTCATATTGTCAACTGTGGATGTTGGATTATTGTTGGATATACTATATAGTTGATAATTACATTTATTACCTGTGTTGTCAACTGTGGATGTTGGATTACATCCACCGGTATGGGACGGTGGCATGCCTAGGGTTGGATTAGTTTCAAAATACTAAATCCTACCTATACAGAATAAGGGAATGGATATTAAAATAAATCCTACTTATAATTGAGTCAAAGAAGCTGCATAAGCTGAATGACTACTCGGATTACTCGTGAGTTATGTTAAGTCAAAGAAGCTGCACAAGCTAAATGACTAACTGGACTTTTTATGGTTAGGACGGATTTTAAATATATGTTATGGTACTGCGATTTGAGCTTGAGTCTCAGAGTCGTCGGTTAGGGAGCGTATATGCAATGATATGAGAGGTTGAGGTATACCCTGGTAGGTCTAGGTACTTATGCCCACCTTTGGGTGCGTTTTCGTATGTTGCCTTCTATTCAGGTTGAGACCCCCTCCGTAGTCCAATGAGAGTCCTGTAGTGTGGATATAATTATGTATCGGACTATTAGCTATTGCTGAATTGCTTAGGATGTATATGCGTATCGAGTTTCTGCTTGGATTGTAGTAGGTTAGAACTTGTTCGTGGGCCTGACCCACTTCTATTTTTCAGGTACACGAAAGTTCCAGACTTAGACGTGTTCGTGCTGAGAAGAGGTTTCTACTCACTCTACCGACAACATAGGACTTCTCTCTATAGCTTATATCAGGATGTTTTTTCAGTTATTTTATTTCAGTTTGGATTTTTATTAGGGGTCCACTAGAGATGGATTCCCGAGTTGTCTAATCTATTAGAGGTTTTGGATTATTGGGATTTAAGTTTTTATGTTAAAGAATTTCATTGTAGCTTCTTCCAGCTTTTATTATTTATTCTTATTTCATTTTTGTCATTTGTGTTCGTTTTAAAATATTAATTGTTTGATATTCCCTCGGGTTTGGGCTTAGGCTTGATCAACCCGTGTCTCAAATCTAAGGGGTATCACAATCTTCGATTGATCGCCGAGGTTGGTGATCCATCGAAGAACCTTGGCGATCAATCGCATCTTACTGCCAGTGAGCTGTTTAATTCTCGAACTCGCCCGATCTTCACTTAACTTTTGGCTACGAGATTGAACCAATTAAAAGGCCATTTTCTGACTTGTTGACCACACAAAGGAGCTTGTATTTAAATCAAATTGAACCATTTTGTTAGGGTTCAATAACTTTTAGCTATTTTTACATTTGAACCAATCTCTAGACAATAGTTTCTCTCTCTAGAAATTAAGGTTTTTGAGTAAGAAAAGAGGCAAGATCTTCATCATACCTAGGGTTTCTACCAAGAAGATCAAGAGGAAGAAGATGGATTCAAGCTTGATAGCCCTTGAGGGTTCCATGACCACATCCATGAGTGGTTAAATCATCCTCTTAGGGCTTGGAAAAGCTCTAGGCTAGTCCTCTAAACCCTAGACCTTTGACATTTTTGGGGATTCTATGTTGTAATGAATGTTTAACCTTGTGAATGTATAGATCTTGACTTTGTCTATGTTTTGTATGGTTCAATTCTTACAATTAATTCTTTGGTTTATTTACATGTCTATGTGTGATTAAATTAGGAATTATGTCTCTACACTAGTTTATCTAGATTTGATGCATGTCTATGTGTGATTAAATTGAGAATCTAGTGATGGTTATGCATGATTGTTCTTAATGTATACTTTTGTGAATTGATTTGATGGATTATGCTCATGATTGATGGATTGTTCTACGCCCCTAGTTAATTAATTCAACTTCCTTGTCTTAGTGTAATTATAGTGTAATTGCATTTCAATTCCTAGATTAGGTAGACAATCCAAACTTGTGTTTGATAATCCATGTTTTTGTTGTGAGATGTATATTTCTCTAGATTTATGTGTGCTACAATTGTGGGTTTATTGAATGGTTTATGCCTTAACTTGATGAGTTGTACTACATTCTAGCTTAAGTAGACAATTCATGCTTGTTTCTGTCACCCATGCTCATTGTTTCAATTATTAGCACACACACACTTTGGTTACAACATTGAATTCCTCCAAATTGTTAAAGGTTAGATGTTTAGAGGAAGAGCTTAGTGGTAATTCCTATGCCCTACGACCTCTCTCTGAGTCTCTTTCACCATACTTTATTTAGCTTGTTTTCTATTGCATTGCATAATTTAGTTAATCATTAAACCAAACCAAGCCACTCTGTTGATCACTTGACCTATTAATTCGAATTTAATTTCAAATACCCTTATAATCTTTTGGGATGATCACTACTCCTATGCTACATTAGTAGTAGTAGTGGTGGTTTTATAAATTTAAATTTGACTAAAAAAGCTTTTTAAACCACACTCGTAATTTGACCTTATGAAGCGACCTCTCGCATTAAAAAGTTGGTATTCTACCACATATAGAAGAGGACTCGTCACTAGAGACAGAGAGAGGATCATTACACTCGAAAGGCTGATAGAGACGGAAGAGGAGAGAGAGGCGCGAGTCAAGACATTAAAAAGCAACCGTGTATTGATTGAGGCGACACAACATTGATGACATTATAGGTACCAAAGCGCCAATGTCCAAGCGAACTATCCGCTTCCCTACGCCATCATTTCAAGCCGTCACATTCTAAAGTCCCTTCACTCGTTAATCTCACCCTGATAAATTAGGGAGAGATTAGGGGGCAGGTGAAGGGGCCGAATTGACCTTGGGCCGACCTAGTAGGATTAGATGAATATTGGGCCTCGTTATACCCGGTAAACATTGTTCTCAACCTAGCTAAGAAGTCTAATGACCTCATTGTGCCAAAGCCAAATCAGCCCACTCAGTCAAAGAAGAGGCCTGACAACACCTTAGCCCAGCTGTGTATATGATAAGGGGCGCAAACGGGACAAAAGGGTAGAATATGGCCCATCAACTCCTAAGTTTAAGGGTTGATGAGAAAGTTTTTAGGGTAAATGTAAACTTCTATAAGTAGAGGTGGACAAAAAGAAAAAAAGGCAGATTGTTTGGAATGTGAGAAAATCCTTTCTTAGTATAGAGCTACATTTTCTTGTATCTTCAGCAACATAGAAAGGTGAGAGGTCACCGGAAGAGAGAGAGGTTGAGAGCTGTGAAGTTCTTCCGTTAACAAAATCCTCCCAAACGTTAACGTTTTTTTACAATGATTTGGGTTGTGATCTTAAAGACCCAGTTCGGAAAATCAATGTTGGAGACTACAAATCCGTTATCTGGAGCTTAAATGGATTGAATGTTTAAGACCTAGAAAGAAAAAAGCTACGAATTTGATCATATTTTAGAGAGAGAAACAAACAAATTATTGAGTGCAAAATGTAGAGAGAGAAACAGAGATGCGTGGAAGAGGAATGGAATCTAGGCCCCATATTGAGAGAGAAACAGAGAACAACGAAGAGTTTGAGTCGGCTGCCGGAGGGTGGTGGGGTGTATATGATTGGTGGCGATGGAGTGGAGATAGGAATTGTGGGAAAAAGGGCAAAAAAAAAAAAAATGTAAATATTTTATTAGATAAATATTAATGGGCAAAAAAGTCATTTTAGATTCTTAGATATTTTGTTATTTTTAATAATATAATAATAAGGGTATATAAGTAAATTTATAGCAAAATTTGACATAGGGTGTCTTTACAAAAAAAAAAAAAAAAAAAGGGGCAAATCTCAAATTTATTTGAAATTAGACCAAACCTCAGGACATTGTAGTATTTGCTATAATTACATTGTTAGACCAAATCTTATTTGAAGTTTACCCTCACTTTAATTTTGAATGGGGTATCAGTGTTATATTTTCAAAAGCCTTGATCTCTAAGTAATTATAGCAAATGCTAGGGTGGTTGGAGTAATTCACCAATAATAAAATAACAAAGTAGTCCACAAACAACACAGAAATTCGGGAAATGCTGTAGCGTTGAGGTTGAAGAAGACAGGTTTCTTCTCTTTTTGTCAGATAGAAAGTTCACAGAAGGAAAAATGTCGATGGTAAGCGAGCACGAAGAGGAAGTGCGTCGGAGAAAGATTGAAGAAGCCCTCGAAATCAAATCTCTTAGGCGTATCATCAGTGCCTACGTCAAGTATGTATCTATATATATATATATATATATATATATATAAACATCATCTATATGTGTATACCTCTCAGTTTGTATTTGAAGATCGCTTTTAATGGAACTTTATTAACATTTTATACGCATTCTACAAGTTTGTGACTTTTGGGCTACTTCAATTGGCATTTCCTAGTATCTACTGTTAATCTCTTGTACTTCGACGTTTCAATCTTCGACTGTGTGGTGCTGATTTTTGTTTTATTGGGTCACGAACTCTACCCCTCTCTCGTTATGTTGATAAGTCTTACGGACTCATCTTTCTCTCCGACTCTCTAAAATCTTGTGGAAGTTCAAATGCATGAATTTGTGGATAGTTAATTCAACCCAAAATTCTGATGTGTGAATTTTCTGTTTCTGGAAGAGAACATACGGGTTATAGATATTGTCGTTAAATAAGCTTGCATGAGAACTTGAAGAATTTGTATACATGGAAAAAAAAAAAAAAATCGGCTGTAATTGTTTGTCACTTTGAAGTGGAATTGGTTTGAGGACTTTTAAATGATTCTATAAGTAAAAATGTGCTATAGTTTAGTCTTCAACTTTCAATTATTATTCCTTTAATTAATTTTATTTTAAAGTGTAGGCTAATTTTGACGATTATATAATCAATTCACTTGTGTAAAAACCCTAGTCCACTAAGCATCAATATTGATATTTGAGTGGTGAAAGGGAGCTATTAATGATTAATTTTGGTTAGTTTGATGACATTACTTTGAGGCTATTAGACATGGAGCCTAATGGTGGTGGGTGAATAGGTCTTCTGAAGTCTAATTGACGATAACCCATATATAGATTATTTCAATTATATGGGTAATAACGAAACATAAGAACTTGACCCAATAAAATAAATTGAAATCAAAGATGTAGACTTGGATTTTATTAAAAAAATTTCCAATACAAAGTAGCAAATAGTAATGGCCTAACGATCCCCCACCTTTTCAATTTCATAACAAAATAAAAAGAAATGAACAGACTCAAAATAAATCTTGTGTTTTCCTTCATAATTTACCTAAGACGTGCATATCATAGACCAAATGTTCGGCAACCCTCTTAGATTTCGGCTTGATATTAGCTTGTATATTTGCATATCTTCTCTTACATATGTTTAGGCTTAATTATAGGCTTAGCTTACATTTAGGCTTAATTTTGGGCTCGCCTTTGTACACGCCCTTTTCGATTCTATGTAACACACATATAGATATACAGGGATGGACCTGTGATGGGCTTAGAGGGGGGCAATTGCCCCCACTGAAATTTTTTCTTTTTGCAATTTTACCCACTAATTTTTCTTTTTAAATTATCTACTTGAAATTTTTTGAGTTTGCCCCACTAAAATTAGAGAAAAACTCCACTATTGCCCCCCACAACATTCTTTTGTTAAAGGTCGCCCCCTCTCACATACTTTTCTGGTTCTTGTAGATATCCCTATTGGGATGAATACAATGGAGTTGAATTTTCCCAATTCTTTAACTCTCACATGGTATCAGAGGGTCTCACAATCCTATAGTCTTTTCCACTTCTTCTTCTTCTTTTTTCTTTCTTACATTTTTTTTAAATGAGGCTCTGCCTCCTCCACCATGAGATCCCTCCGGCGTGTCCCTTTGTATTGAGGTGCCCCTTGTTCGACCATTGTCCGGCTTCACTGTTATCATGGCACGTCTTCTTCTTCTAGCACCTATGCCTCTACGGACACAGTGACATCTACACTGATAACCTCTATGGTGTTGTTTTCCTTGTTCTCAGTCCCTAACATCACCAATTTGGTGAGTGTAAAATTGGCCGACTCAACTATCTCATTCGGTGCTATTAGGTCAAGCCCTTTCTGGTTTGCCAAAATTTTTGGCGCTTTGTGGATGGCTCTTATCCTGTGCCCTCGGAATTACTCACGATGACTGTTGGCCAACTTGGAGTACCAAACCCAGATCACCTGACTTGGCTTCGCACCGATCAGACATTCCTTAGTCTTCTCAACGCCTCCTTCTCTGAGCCCATTCTGGGAGTGGTTGTTGGCCTCCATGCCTCACGAGATGTTTGTACCTGCCTTGAGCAACACTTTTCTCAGCAATCTGTTGCTCATGCCTCTACATTTCGTTTCTGCCTCCTGTCTCTCAGCAAGGAGAACCACTCCATCTCTAACTATCTCTTATATGCCAACTTCCTGGCTTATTCCTTGGCTTTTATTGGTCAGCCTGTATTCAGTGATGATTTAGTCACTAATGTTCTTTTGGGTTTGGGTTCAGGTTATGTGATGATTATAACAACTACACCCGCATTTTCCGCCTTTGCCTTCATTTCAAGACCATCGGGCTTGGCTACTGTCCTTTGAGGCTCAGGCTTCTGCTGCTACTTTACCGCCTTAGATTGCACTTCTAGCTCAACGGTATTCTATTCCTCCTCCCAGTTTGGTAATTGGGGTGGCAACCATAGGAATCAAGACCGCATCGGGTCAGGGTTCTACTTGCATTTCTGGTTCTTTTTGTTAGTTGTGCAATGGTACTGGACATGCTGCCCTCCAGTGTCGTCGTTGGTGTGCTCGTTTGAATGCTGACACTCTCAATGCCGCCTTTGTTGGTCTTTAGTTATCTCAACCATCTCCTTTATCACCATTCCCTACGCAGAGTTATCTGCAACAGATTTTGTCGCAGTCCTTACAACCACCATATCTGAATTATAATTGGTGCCCGGACACTAGTGCTACTCATCACATGACTGGTGATCCTTGCCTTTTGTAGAATCATATCCCCTATATACTGGAGCCGATTTAGTATATCTTGGCAATGGTTCTCACCTCCCTATCACTATGGGTATCATGGCTCTTCCTCTTAGTTCTTGTTCCTTTCAGCTTAACAGTGTTTGGTATATATACTATTTATTTAATTGATTAGTTCTTTTTAGTTTTAACTTTTAACCCTAAATGGCTTAACCTACCTTTACTCTTCACTTCACACACTGAGAACGACCAATCCGAAATTATATTTTAATATTCAAAGCAAATAGACAGAACAGAGTAAAATTAAGGCTATCCATCTTTATAAATGTATTATTGATCATTCAACACATGATAGCTTTATTTATTTGGATATCAATAAATTCTTTTCTTTTCTGTTTTTGTCATGACAAATAATTCCCACAATGTTTTTGGGAGACTCGGAACTCTAAAATGGCTTTATTCACTCACCACATACAAGCTACATTACATCAAATGTCTTATGATGACAATAAAAAACAAATGAGCCCACTTTCCTTCACAAATTCTGATCATAACCTCGTAACTTTTTTTAATTCTGATCCTTCTGATCACAAACACTCGTAAAACTTGATATCATCGCGAGCCAGAAGTATACTATACTCTTTCGATCTCTATCAAGCTACTCATTTGTAATAATCCAAATGTAACTCGTATTAGTATTACTAAAAAATGCCAAATATTGGGCTGTTTAGAAAAAAGCCAATCCATAGAATTGATTTGATCCAAGCCGATATTTTACGTAAGTACACGGATCGGATTGGCTTCAATTTTCACCAATCTGTTGGGATCGGTTTGGATTAGGTTTGATGCCTAATTTGATTCAATCCGATATGTGGTCACAAATTCTTTCTCAGACTTGATACACTGTTGATCTCTTATGCTGCAATTCTATGTTGAGTGCAAACCATGTGCTACCCCCTTGAGTGCCACGACACAACTCTTAGCCTTATAGGGTGATCCACTTTCTGAGTCTACAGAGCATCGCCGCTTCGTTGTATCTCTTCACTACCCGACTCTGACCCATTAAGACATTGTCTTTGCGATTCATTATGTTGTTCAGTTCATGAGTGCCCCTCAGACTACTCATCTTGTTCCTATAAGCACATTCTGCGCTATCTCAAAGGCACTTTGGATCTTGGATTGGTCTTTCACCCCTCCTCTGGTGCTTTAGTCCTTCATGCCTTCTCTGATGCTGATTGGGTTGGTTGTCTTGATACTCGGTGTTCGGCTTCTGGCAACTATGTTTTTTTTGAGCCTGAATTGCACTTCTTGGAATGCTAAGAGACAACTTACAGTTTCTCGTATGACAACTGAGTATGAGTATCGCTGACTCGCTTAAGTATGTGCAGAGACTTTTTGGATACAACACCTTCAGTTCTACGGGAGCTTCATGTGCCTCTCCACACCAGCCATGCTCTACTATGACAACCTTAGCATTACTTACATGGCATATAATCCCGTTGTGTTGCATCCTCTTACCAAGTATATTGAGTTGGATTATCACTTCATTCGGGACCTTGTTCTCTCTGGTAGGCATCATGTTCAAGTTGTTCCTTCCACCGACAGAACTGCAGATGTATTCACTAATGCTGTGTTCGGTAGGAAGGAAGGAAGAGTTGTGGAGAGAAAATAGGAAGGAAGGAAGTACTTCCTTTGTTCGGTAGAGATGATACAAGGAAAGAAAGGAGAATAGGAAAGATGACTCATCCTTCCTCCTTTACAAATTTTCATCTGCCTAAAAATGAGCGGAAGAAAGGAGGGAAGACAAGTGGACTATTATAGAAGTTTTAAATTAAATATTATCTTAAATTGTACTAGTTTAAATTACAGTACTATGCTCTATAAATTATAATATTATAGATATTATAGGATATAATGGCACAATTAAAACTCTCTCTTTCCTTCTCTTTTAACAAACATAGTAAATTATGAGCTTATTTTCTTCTCTTCTATCCAACCGAACAAAAAAAAAAAAAGAAATACACAACATCTTCCCTAGGAATGTCTCATCCATCCCTTCTTTTCTCCCTTCCATCCAATTTTTATCCTTCCTACCGAACAGAGCATAAGGGGCTTCTGCATTCCAAACTCATCCACTCTAGACCGTTGAGTTTGCAGGGGGAGTGTTAGACAGCCCCTTTAGATTTATGCTTGTATATTTGCACATCTTTTGTTACATATGTTTAGGCTTAGTTATAAGCTATGTTAGATAGCTCCTTTAGATTTAGGCTTGATATGAGCTTGTCTATATGCATATCTTTTGTTACACTATGTTACCCGAAATCGCGTACAGGTGCCAGACATGTGTATCTAGAGGCTGGACTCGCCAATCTATCAAATTATAGGATACGGGGACCCGGCTAAATAGTTTCCAATATTTAGACACGGGTACTTGGACATTTGTAAGGGGAAAAAGAATTGAACAAATTTTTTAAATCTTTTTTTAAATTATTTTTTTTTTGTGTATGAGCCATCAGTTTTGTATGAAAATAAAAATAAATATTCATGAGCTTTCATGCCTTGACTATCAGCCGTACCTTTTGTATATGTCAGCTGTACATTCTGAAAGAAATATTGATGCTGGATGCTAATGCTTGCGCTATTATCTGATCACATTATGGCATATTGTCTGATCACAATATGACATCTCAAGTTATATGTAGTTTAGATTCTATATTAATCTCGGTTTCCATCTGACATTTGTGTCTTGTTTCGGCCATCTTCAATTATTTTCAACTTGGTGATTTTATTTTCTTGTTCCTAAATCATATTTTTGAGCAAGAATGCTTGGATAGAATACTATTATTGACCACATTCCCTACTCTTGTTCTACTTCACATACAGCTATCCGGATGCTTCGGAAGAGGATGTAAAAAGATATGAAAGATCTTATAAAAGGCTTCCACCTGCTCACAAGGTATTCTCTTGCTCTACTTGGCTAACAGAATTTTTTTCTTCTTTCCTCTTGTGTGAAATAGATATTAAATTGGACCAAGGAAGAAAATGAACTAAACAGGCAATTCAAAAAAGAGACCGACTTCATGACACAAATTTATCTAGATATATCTCCTATATAATCAATGAAAGAAATACTAAAAAACAGAGCCCTGCTTTCCGAGACACTAATGTGAGGTCCAAGTCCAGCGTGTTTGAGTTTATGTGCCACAAGCTTTTTTCCCCCGAAAGTGTGCTTGCTTCTTCCTTCCCCAAAGCCCATTTTAGGCTAAGGGGAGTCACATTCCACATGGCGTAGTTCTTCTGGAGCACCTTCCAACTGTCAAAGACTATAAAACCTTGATCGACCTCAGCATGACTCACTAAAATTGAAATAAAGATAACATATCTGACCTGACTTTTTGGATAACCAATCAGTGCACTGACATTGGTGTATCTTCTCCATCGCTCGTTTGCACATTTAACACCAATTAAGAAGCACCATGCATCCTATGACCAATTCAACAATGGTGACGAATTTCTAAAAATGCAGTATGCAGAAAAAATTACCTTTGATGGCACTTTCACATTAAATACTCTTGTATGGAAACACATCACGGCTCGCCTGTCCCAATCCTTAACACCTCATAAAAGATCAAAAATTTAGTTTACCATTACCCACTGTCTTGTATCAAATAGCATATTCCTACTACTTGTAATATTAAAACCAAATAGAAGATCAAGTAAGATATAACTTTTGGAGTTCTGTATTTTGTATAGCTCAAGATAATTGTATATCCCACACATTTCCATTCAATTTAACAATAATCTCCCCATGAGTGGCATACTTCCTATGAACAAAATGGGAAGGTTGGAGAACATCTTCTTTCACTTCTCTATAATGATTATCCTGTTAAAAGCTTGCTAAAAACCCGACCCCAGACTACTCTCCAGCTATAAAGCTAATTCCTCCTGTCCCTTACTGATAGCATTCATAGGCCCACCTGATGAGAATCTCTCTCTAGCCACTTCCATTGTTGTTCATCAGGCACACCTAATCTAGCTGGAACTTACACCCACCATTATGTGCCTTAAAGCATGTCTGTTTTATGCAAATCTTGGCAGCCACTTGCTAAATGGGCTTGATTGAACTGAATAAAATTTTACATAAAGAAATTGTTATCTACAATAATGTATGGGAATATGGAGTGGAATACACTTGCCCCTTTGAGGAAATTCACAAATAATTTAAAAATCATTTGAGAGATCTGTTGCACATTCTACAAACAAATTGAGAGTTTGACAAACAAAATTTATGGATCTAGCATCAATCAACATGAAAAAATTAGATCTTGGGAAAGAAAAAAAATCATAAATAAAAAAATAAAAAAGTCAAAATCTTACCTACTAGTTGAAAACTAGGGAGTGATTTGATCCAAGTTCGAGGCAAAATCTAGTGTTTTTTGAGTTCTAATTCAAATATTTAGGTTTTAGGATGAGTTTTGTTGTGGGAACTGATTTTTGGGGAGAGAGAGTAAGGATGTGAAAAAATGGGGTAGAAATGGTTGTTGGCGATTGCTCCCCGCCGGGGGGGGGGAGGGAGGGGTTGGTTTGTGGTTTTCTAAATCTGTTTGAGTTAGACTGAGTCTGCCCTAGTCCCTTTGTTTTTTATTCCCACCAATGTAACAGACAGATTGTACAGGAACAACTCAGGCTGAGTCCCTTAAAACCCGGCCAAGTCGCCCGTGTCGACTGAGATTTTAAACCATGTCGGTATATTTGTAATAAGTAATACTATGTTAGCTGCCATCACAATGCATAATGTGCTAGTGCTCTTGAAGAATCCTTTGCTTAAAGAGTTGTGTCGTAGGAAAAACTGACATTTTTTATGCTAACGTGATTGACAATTCTATTGGTTTTTCTTAATGTAATTTTATTCATCAAAAAATATTCATCTTTGACCTTTTTTTTTTTCCCTCAAATTTTTTTTTTTCTCACAAATTTTGCAGGCTCTGCTATCACATCTCCCTTCGAAATTTCAAAGACTAAGACGGTATATTTCCCACAACTTTTTTCTGCATCATAAACTTTGTGTAGATTTTCATTTTGCTGTCTGTTTAATTATCCTAGGCTTGGTTGAAGTTGAAGTTATTTGTTTCCGATAATCATGAATATAGGAAATTGCACTTGGATGGTTAGATTTTTTCACAGGAGATTATAATATTGATTCTATATATTCTAAGGGTGTGTTGGTTCCCATCCACTTACCTTGCTATTTGCATAAGACACCGTTTTGCTTAATTTATTATTATTATTTTTATAAGGTAATAAACAATCAGATTTTGTGAGGAATCCTGTGGTAGTATACCAGAAAAAAGATTATATAATGGGATCATTGAGCTTCATTATTTGAGTTCGAGTGGCATCTTCTCCACTTCCTATAGAAGAGGTCCAGATTTGTATGAAGTGAGACACCTGAAGGAGTTGCTGTGATTGAAGGCAAGGCATGTGGAGACACCCTGGTATCGCTCAAGTACAAAAGTATGTGTATAAGATAAAAGGAAATAACAAAAAATCCTCAGCAAATTTTCTGTCTCTCCTCCCCCCCCTCCCCCTCCCCCTCGTCTCGCTCTCTCTCTCAAAGAGGCTCTCCCAATTCGTTGTCTCTAAAAAAATCCTCTTAGCTATTAATTTATAAATGCATTGCGCCAAACTAATAGGTCTAAAGCCTGCTTGAGGTTGAGCAAAAACGTACAGTCATCACTTGTGAAATCACTATGTTTTTTGGCAAAGTAAATGTGCCTCCCAAGGATCTCTCGTAAGGCGATCAGCAACAATCAAATATCTTGCACAAATGAATTAGCATGAGGCATGACCCTTTTCTTTCCACATGGACCTACAATTCTTAACCAAGAGTTTGAGCAATAAAAAGGAGTAAGCACATAAGTAAGGTATGTAAAGGAAAATCCATCCTCAGTTATTCGTATCAGCTATGAGTCGTCTTTTCAGATTCAGTTGATTCTGTGTTCGATGCTCACCAATATATTAGTATCAGAACCACATAAGACTTGGTCCTGTCCCTAGAGAATCGTTTGGTTCCCATCCGAGTACCTAGGGAATCAGCCAAATCTCCACTGATTCTCAACTCTGTCCCTTGGAAATCTGCTGAGGCACATCTGATGATGTGTAAGGTCTAAAAAAATTCACAATCACGATAACCGATTTCCTTACGTGACGCCCAATACAGCTCCGAGTCCATTATGCGTCTGCGGCTGTGTCCAAATCTTCGAACCATGGTCATAACTGAAGTTTCCACTTCTTTATACATCCAACTTTGTTAGGTGATGCCTCTTCATTGTTGTTTGATAAACCTCCCCAACAAGTTCAACAACTACGCTATCTAATTCACATAAATAATTCATGTTCCAAATTGGTTTCGAGAATGACAAGAGTAATTTATTTATTTAATATTTCTTTATAGAATTCATCATCCAAAACACAATTTCTTTAATTTGGTCATGCTTTAACTTTGATCTTGAGTATCAAATCGGATTTAGGGTGCACAGAATTTATTTCGATAACAATTATATATATATATATATATATATGGTGTTAATATGTACTTAGACTAACAATAAGATAGGTTGGAGGAATATAATATAATCTTTATCTATATTTATGAGAAATATGTGTTGCACCAGTGATGTCCATTTTTCATATATGGCAGACTATATATATATATATATATTGATAAGTAAAGATGTATAACCGAACACGCTCAGAGGGGAGTGAACCCTTACAAAACAATAAACAAAAACGCAAAAGGCGTCAATACAACGATAAGTTGTCAACGAAATCCAAAAAACTATCTACAGATGGGCAATATTTCCCATTAACCCAAGAATAAAGAGAATGCAAAATATTCGCCTTGATAACCGACACCGACGATTCCTGTCCTTCGAAAGATCTCCTATTCCTCTCACGCCACAACCCCCACCAAATACAAAGAGGTGCAACCCTCCACACCTTCTTAACCCGACTTTCTATTTTATTCCCTCTCCAAGCTTCTAACATATCCCTCGTATTACTTGACACAACCCATTCCACCCCAAATACATTCAGCATCAGACTCCAAACATCCGCTGCCACTCTACAATGCAACAAGAGATGATTAACCGATTGACCCGCCTTCTTACACATGCAACACCAATTAACTGTTATTTGGCGTCTTTTTATGAGATTATCCAACGTAAGAATGCTGCCAAGCGCCGCTGTCCATGTGAAAAAAGCCTCCTTTGTTGGAGCTGAAGCCTCCAAACAGCCTTCCAAGGAAACCCATTGCTCATTGAATTTGTAAGACTTTTATAAAACAGCCTCACCTTAAACACCCCTCTAGAATCCCACTTCCACACCATCCCTTTCTTCCCCCTCCACCACTTGACTATAAATTAATCCCATTAATTTGGTAAACTCCAACAACTCCCAATCATTAAAATTTCTGCGAAATCTCACATCCCAAGTAGCTCTCCCATTCTCTAACCTAAAATAATCTGCCACCACCACATGCTTCACCTCAACCATCCTATAAAGTCTAGGAAACCTACAATCCAACGCCACATCTCCACACCAAACATCCGTCCAAAACCTCACAAAACTACCATCCGTAACTCGAAACCGTATCCGCTTAGAGAATTCGTCCCACCCCCTCCTAATACCTTTCCATGATCCCATACCTGCTGATGCATTCACACCTCTGGACACCCAACCTCCCTCCTCTTCCCCAAACTGGCAAGCAATAACACGCCTCCAAAACACGAACCTTTCACATCCAAATCTCCATAACCATTTCCCTAACAGAGCTTTATTAAACATATCCAACCTGCTCAACCCCAATCCACCTCTTGGAATTGGGGTGAACTCCTTCCCTACACCCCCCCACAAAAAATTCCCCCGAATCTTATTAAGTCTACCAATCACTGTTTTAGGGATTGGAAACAAAGACATGAAATAGACAGCAACTCTCCTCGAGGAAGCACCCAATGGCAGCCCCAAATAAGAAATAGGAAAAACCTCCACTCCGCAACCCAGAATAGCTGCCAACTCATGAATATGTCTCACATCCCCTACTGGAACAATCACACTCTTTCCAATATTAATCTTCAACCCCGAAACCACTTGAAAACAGGCCAAAACACACCTCAAGTGTCTCACTTGATTCACACTAGCATCACAAAACATAATAGTGTCGTCAGCAAATAGCAAGTGAGATGTAAAAATCTGATTTGGCGCACAGCCCACTGTAAACCCTTGAATAAATCCCAGACCCTCTGCCCTTTTCATGAGTCTACTAAAAGCTTCCATTACAATAATGAATAGAAACGGGGACAATGGGTCCCCCTGATGTAAATCTCTCGAACTTGCAAAGAAACCTGCTGGTGACCCATTTACTAAGATAGAAAACCGAGTAGTCGAAATACATTGATGAATCCACCCCCTCCATGTTATGCCAAATCCCATCCTCTCCAACACATACGATAAGAACGCCCAATTCACATGATCATATGCTTTTTCAATGTCCAATTTACATTCAATCCCTGGTTCACCACTCCTAAGTCTAGCATCAATACATTCACTAGCAATAAGCACCAGGTCGAGAATTTGTCTTCCTCCAACAAACGCATTTTGAGACTTTGAAATGACCCCATCCACCACTTTCCTTAACTTGTTTGCAAGAACCTTTGCAATAATCTTATAAACTGCACCCACCAAACTAATTGGTCTGAAATCCTTAGCTTCAACCGCTCCCCCCTTCTTTTTTTTTTTTGATAAGTAAAATATATTAGAAAAACGTTCAAGAGGGGAACGCGTCCCTAATATAGAAAAACAAAAACACGCTCCCCCCTTCTTAGGAATAAGAGTGATAAAAGTGGCATTCAAACTCTTCTCAAAACACCCTTCCTCGAAAAAAGCATGCATTACACCCATCACATCCTCTCTCACCACCTCCCAATTCTTTTGAAAAAATGCAATTGTAAATTCATCAGGCCCAGGAGCTTTATCTCCATCACAACTCCTTAAAGCTTCCAACACTTTCTCCTCCCCAAATTGCCTCTCCAAATCCCCTCTATCCTCATCAGAAATTTTTTCAAACACAATATCATCCATACCCCGCCTCCAAGAGACGGACTCTGTAAATAGCTCCTAATAAAATGCCACAAAACCTGTCTGGATCTCCTCTTCCGTTTCAGCCATAACACCATCAAAACATATCCTCCCCATACTGTTCCCTCTTCTATGAGCATTAGCTAATCGACGAAAAAACTGAGTATTTCTATCCCCTTCTTTAAGCCACAATGCTCTCGATTTATGGCAGACTATATATTGGGCCACAGCACTAACTATCACAATCTTAGTGGGCCAACTAGGATATGCTTTGAGCAGCAAGACCTTGGGCACCCCCCCTTTTGAGAGCTTTTAATGAAACTTTACTTAAAAAAAAAAACTATAATATCTAAGCATTTTCAACCAAGGAACATGATTTAGCACAACAAAATGGTGCCTAAATATACTTTTTTTCCCTTTAAGAAGAAGAAAATGTATAAAGCATAGCTATAATATTTTATGGATGGCATGACCCTCCTCAGACGCCGCAATGGCGGGAGCCTCGTTGATGCAAATCAGTAAGGGTACTTTAGTCAGGATTATGGCTGTCAATGGTGTCTTGGAAAGTATCTAGTCAAAAGTCTATTTAGTAAGTAATTATGATATGTGAGTCTGAAATTGTTATGGGAATAGTAGAAGTCATTATTAAAGACTTGTGGGTAGTTTGAAAGTCAGTCTAGGAAAAGTAAGTGTCATTTAGAGTTGTCTTATAAAAGGGACAGCCCCTATATGTTTTGTATTCAAGTTTTAATCAATATAATTTTGAGATATTATCAGGGTTTATACTTCTCTAAAGCTTTCCCCCAGATTTACCTATAGAAGTTTAGGCTCCGTCGGTGATTGGAGTAATTATGGTCTTTCTTATTGTTGTAAGAAGACTTCTTCATTTTCTGTTTGCTTCAAGTGGTATCAGAGCCTTCCCTCTAAGATCTATGAATATTGCGGATCTATGGCTGGGCAAGGAAACAACCAAGTGGACAATACAGAAGCACTAAATGCTGGTAATGTGGCTACAAAAGAAGATTTGGAGAAATGCAGCAATAAATGCAACAAGAAGTTAATCAATTGTGCACCAGGTTGGAGCAATCAGGAATCCTTGGTGCTCCTAATCCGACTGTTGGAAGACAAAGGGGACATCAAATGAATGTCTATCAACAGGGAAATTGGAGGAACCAGCCTGCTGTAGAAAGACTTCAGCAAGCTACAGAAGAATTTTCAGATGATGAAGATGGAGTTTTACCATATGCAAGGCAACCAATATTTAATCGTAACTTTCAGAGAGATCAAGATCCACGTATTAAGGTGGAAATTCCAACTTTCACTGGGGAAGACCAGCTGGAGGAAGTTTTGGACTGGTTAAATGAAGTCGAAAGGATCTTTGAGTTCCTTGACCTTCCTGGTAATAAGAAGGTACAATTGGTAGCCATTAAAATGAAGGGATATGCATCTTCTTGGTGGCAGCAAGTTCAAGCAACTAGAGTTCAGTCTGGAAAGGATCGTGTTCAAACCTGGGCAAAAATGCAAAGGATGATCTGAAGCCAATTCCTTCCATTAAACTACGAAGGAATTCTATTTCAGCATTATCAGTTCCTTTATCAAGGAGTTCGCTCAGTTCGGGAATACACAAATGAGTTCTATAAGATGAGAACTCGAGTGCAGTTGGCTGAGACAGAAACACAGGTGATCCACCGTTTTTTGATGGGATTAAGGTCAGGCATAAGAAACCATGTGGAATTACAGCCTTGTTGGACCTTAGCAAGTGCTGTTCAACTGGCAACGAAGGTTGAAACACAACAAAATCAGTCCAACAACCATTCAAATCAGTTCAGAAGTGGACAAGTACAATTGGAAGCTGAACTTTATCAAGAAAACATGAGTCAGAAGGCTGGAGCAGCAAACAATGCTACGCAGGAAAATAATACAGCACATGTTGCCTATGGACGTGGTCGATGTCGGGGACATGGAGCGACAAATACTGCTACTGCGAGTAGTAGTACACCATTTCAGTACATGGGAAACAAGATAATATGTTTCAAATGTGGTAAAGAAGGCCACAAGTCCTCTAATTGTCGAAAGGCAGCAAGTAACTTGCTTATCAATGAAGGTGAATCAAACAATACAGAGGGTCGATACGATGATGCATGAGATGATGAAGGTCTGCTGGAATTTGAAGAAAATGAAGTCACATTTGAAGATAGAGATCTTCCAAGTCTGGTGGTATGTCGAGCCATGTTAACACCAGAACAACCAGAAGGTGATTGGAGGCGAAGCAACATTTTCTGAACTAAATGTATTCTCACGGACGACTTTGCAACGTCATTATTGATGGGGCAGCTGTGATAATTTAGTTTCCAAGGAGATGGTTACAAAGCTGAAACTAGAGGTGCATCCACATCCAAAGCCATATAAGATAGCTTGGTTCAAGAAAGGAGGTGAAGTAAAGGTAACAGAACAATATCTTGTTCCTTTTTCAATTGGGAAAAGTTATTCAGATAAAGTTTTGTGTGATGTGGTAAATATGGAGGCTTGTCATATCTTATTGGGAAGACCGTGGCAGTTTGATAACAAGACTGTCCACCTTGGTAAAAAGAATGTTTATGCCTTTTATAAGAATGGAGTTAAGGTGATCCTGGTTCCAATGGAAGATGAAGACTTTCCCAAGTCCAAAATGGAGGAAGGACATGCTTGCTTAAGGCTGCTGGCCAAGGAAAGAAAGGAGGAACTGCAAGAAGTACCGGCTGAAATTGACATGTTGCTGAATGAACTAGCTGAAGTTTTCCCTGCTAACTTCCCTGCAGGATTGCCACCACAAAGGAGTATCCAACCCCATATTCGTGATCTGATTTGGGATGGATTCTTGGTGCGACATATGGCCAGATGTTGTTCCAACGCAAAAATCAGATTAATTCAGACCTTGGTTCACGATTTATCTTCAAGCAAGTTTTGGAGATTTCACAAGAGAGCTCTGAAAGTTTGTTCAAAGTTATTCTTTCTCGGTAACAGAGGCTTATTGTGCTTTGATCGAGCAAGGAAAAGAAGAAAGAAAGGATGGAAGGCTTTACTCGGGCTTATCATTGATCGTGGTAAATTGTTTCAAACATGAGGTTGAGTTTTTTTCAAGGAAGAGGGTCTGATGCAAATCAGTAAGGGTACTTTAGTTGGGATTATGGCGGTCAATGGTGTCTTGGAAAGTATCTAGTCAAAAGTCTATTTACTAAGTAATTATGATATGGGAATCTGAAATTGTTATGGGAATTGTAGAAGTCATTATTAATGACTTGTGGGTAGTTTGAAAGTCAGTCTTGGAGAAGCAAGTGTCATTAAGAGTTGTCATATAAAAGGGACAGCCCCTATATGTTTTGTATTCAAATTTTAATCATTATAATTTTGTGATATTATCAGGGTTTATACTTCTCTAAGGCTTTCCCCCAGATTTCCCTGTAGAAATCTAGGCTCCGACGGTGATTGGAGTAATTCTGGTCTTTCTTACTGTCGTAAGAAGACTTCTTCATTTTCTGTTTGCTTCACTCGTGCAATGGGCTAGCCCTTTTTTTACACTGACACAACAATCACTAGTGTCTTCCATGAGAAGGCTAAAAAGTGAATGCTGCTAATTTGGCACTGCGCACCATCGGTGCAGGTCACGGCAATAGGCATTATTAGGACAGAAGATGAGGGTCTAAGGAAGTTTCAGGTTTTGGCAATGGGCATCAGCAGTTTCCCTTTCTGGCAAAGTTCTCTTTATGCTTGTAATTATTATTTATCATTTTATCCTTTGTTTTTCCTTACTTTAACTACACCGGCACACCATTTCTCGACTCCTTAACACTGTTCACATTCATAGAATATGTTACCCACTACTAAATGCCATTTACAGTCGAGGCATTACTTTAAATTTTTTCATCTCTTAGTGAGTCTCCCCCCCACCCCCTCCTCTGAATATCTCTTAGTGATTATTATATGATGAATCAATGATTTATATGTATGTATTTAGTAACTTTGATTGAAAGTGATGAATTACATGCTTGGATCTAGGGTCTGAATTAGGTGCATCAAATCTTGGGAGATTCTAATCAGTTGGGCTCTTTATGCTGCAGGTGTATTTCTAAAAATTCATTTTTCATATTTAACATGCTTCGGGTAATTTTTCCGGCTCTGCTTTTCCATGTCTTCTTTCCCTTCAGCTACTTTATTGTCTGTGTAGTTCTTTCTTATATACCCATGGGAAGTACTCTGCAAGGGTTGTCTGAAACGAGTTTTATTTTAAAACTATATTGTTCGTTCAAAAATTATTGGTAAGTTTATGTTAATTGCTTGGCAGGCATTTGAACCCCCGCTTGATATGAGCCAGGACATTGATGTTTGTGAAGAATATCTGGAGAATGTCCCAGACAATCATCACCTCTCTGGAGGAAATAATGCTCGCTCTTGTGTGTCAGCCTCAATGGGTGGAATTCCGAAATCTGATGAAGCTAGTTGTGTGGATGACAGCAATGTAATGTGCAGGCCACTTAAAGGGGTGCCTTTCAATGAGGTCTATAGCAGTTATGTGATTTTTATTCTTTTTTTCATTTTTGTGATAAATAAGAGGTGTTAAGATTGCAGTATTCAGTTAATTTAATATTATATTTTTATGTAGAAATTTGACTACTGTAGATAAAAACAGGGGGCGAAAATTGAATTTTTAAATGAGTCCGATGCTGGGACCTGCTCTGCAGTCTCAGAATGTAACAGAAAGAGCGATGAAGCTGTTGGCATTGATTTCAAGGATGTTAACAATATGTCGATATCTTATGCTGTTAATGATTCCAATGGAAATGTAAGGTCATTTTAACCTGTTATTTCTGGATAGCTTAAATCACCTTACTGGTATAAACATCAGATATACATTCACACTAGAGTTGTACCATGAGATGGAAATGGCCATTACCAGCTTGATGTTAAGATTGTTAACAATCTGGCGATATCTTATTCTTTTAATGATTCCAATGGAAATGTAAGGTCATTTTGTTCACTTTAACCTGTTATTTATGGATATCTTAAATCACCTTGCTCGTAGAAATGTCAGACATGCATTTTCACTAGAGTTGTACAATGAGATGGAATTGGCTATCGTTGCATAACTGGATGCTGAAGAGTTCACTTCCAGTAATTGAAGCATCCATATGTACCTGATGTGGTCATCTGATTCTCCACTTGTTCTTGGACATCTATCTTCCATAACTGATTTGAATGGTCGATAAGTGAGGTCTGTGTGACATCATCATAGCAGATTGAGGTGGAGATATCTTACGTATATATACCACATCATTATCTATTTGGTATTATATGTACATGCGACAGTAGTTTGTGTGATAAGCATCACAAATTCCAGCTTCCATACATATCACCACCACCACCACCACCACCACCACCTCCTCCTCCTCCTCCTCCTCCTCTATATCTCTCTTGGACATTGAAAGAGTTGTTATTGCCAAATGGAGTGTTGAGGCAGTTCTGTTTGTTCTATGCTGACTCCATTGACTATTTTTATTTTTTAATTTTTTTTTGGGGACAGAAAATAGCTGCTGTTTTGTTTAATTATGTTTATTAGGGTAGATGATTCCAATACTAGGAGAAGCTGTACTTGTTAAAACATTTAGATGATCCTCAATTTCCTGGTTCCTGTTTTTTGCTTTGGTCAAGGATAAAATCATTCTGTTTATGTTTAACTTTATTTCAATTATTATAAATTGTTCTGATTTATTGTTCATTCCACCCCCCCCCCCCGGGCGGCTTTTTCTGTTTTCAGGTATCCTCATCACCTCCTGATTGGTTGGATCCGTCATTGCAGTTGAATGTTCCTTTAGTTGATGTGGATAAGGTTTCTCTCTTCTTTTATAGCTAAAAACTGGCTCTACATGGTTTAGTATTTTATATTTGCTATAAATAGAAGAAGGATCAATATGGGATCTGTTTGAACTACTTGATGTCAAAGACCCCTTAAAATAAGAGATGGTATGCTTAGCTCAATTTATACACATAAAAATATACACACACATTAATATAGTATAATCCATTAGCATATTTCCTTTTTCTGAATTCGAAAACTTGAATTTTGGGGACATAGTGGTATATTGGCAAAATATCTAGAAGTCAAACTATAAGTTATTTTAACTGTTAATTATATTTTTAGAAAAAAAAAATCATAGATAACATCTTATGTGCATCAAGGTTTTAATGAGTTTATTTCTGTTATTTTCTCAGGTTCGTTGTGTTATAAGGAACATTGTAAGAGATTGGGCAGCTGAGGTACTCATTGACTCTTTATTGTCTTCTTCTTCTTTTGTTTTTTTATTTTTAAACTTAATACTGAAGATAAATGTGGCTTTGAGGTTCACTATCCCCTGGTATCTATTGATTGTTTGGGCACCTTTTCCTTCTACTGCTTATGTTAATACAGGGCCAGAGGGAACGGGACCAGTGCTACAGGCCTATACTTGAAGAGCTTGAAAGTCTATTTCCTGACCGACATAAAGAGAGGTGCATTATTTGATTCTTCTCCTTTCTTTCTTTCACACACACACACACACACACATATATATTTTTTTTCCTTAAAAAAAATTATTTCCAGAAGAATTGTCTTAGGTTGTAGGCTTACAGTGCATGGTTCTCGGCATAATGATTGGATTCGTGTCTTTCTTTTACACTTTTTCTTTAATTCCCTAATATTATTGTATGGAAATGATATGTTGTTCTAGAGATGGCTAAAATTATAATCTTTGTTGAATAGCCCTCCTGTCTGTTTAGTTCCTGGTGCTGGACTTGGGAGGCTGGCTTTGGAAATTTCTTGTCTAGGTATGTTTTAGACGTTGAATTGTTACACATTCAAAAATAAAAATTTATGCTTCACCCACTGCTGGATATTTTCTTTTATCTCAGGTTTTATTAGCCAAGGAAATGAATTTTCATACTATATGATGATCTGCTCGAGTTTTATTCTAAACCAGTGAGAATTTCATGACAGCCTCTTTCAATTTTTCTATATTTCCCAATTTCTTATGAAGATCACAAATTGATCGTTCTGATGTTGGAATTTTTTATTATTTTATTAGGTCTGACAGTGCTGGGGAGTGGACAATATATCCTTGGATTCACAGTAATTGCAATTCACTCTCAGACAGTGACCAGCTCCGTTCTGTTTCTATTCCAGATATTCATCCAGCTAGGTATTTATTCTTCTGTTTAATATTATTCTGTACGTTTATCCGATCCTTAATTTATGTTCTTCCTTTTCCTTCTCTTTTTTCATAATTGGTGTTGTATTAAGATAAAGAAATGAAGTACAGATGCACAGAGGGCCCTCAGGAAAGAAAGTAAAAATTAAAGAGAAACATCCGAGGGCTTAACATGGAACTATTGAGAAGGCCCATTTTCAGTACAAAACAAAAACCGGAAACCAGAAGCTATAATAATATGTCATAAATTGAGGCATTCTGAACATCAAGGACTTCAAGGAGAGTCTGTCTAGCTACTGTCTCATGGGAGAGCAGGGCAGTTCCATGGAGCCTAGCATTCCTTTCTCTCCAAAGATTCCACAAAGCAGCAACAAATAAGCTCTTCAGAGCATTGGAGTCCTAGTAGAGTTGATTCATCCAGAGAAACAGGTCCCATACAGTTGACACCTCCACAAACTGTCCCTTATCCCATCCCAACACTTCACCTAGCCAAGACCAAAAGGCAGTAGAAATATAAAAAGAAGAAAAAGGAGAGAATTGTGTAAAGGCTTGAATGAGATGAATTACTCATTCACAGTTCTAGTAGTTATAGATAAAAAGAGCACATGCTTATATTACAAGAAAGGAAACTAAATCAAATCACCACATATTCTAAAGCATATTCTATGGCATATTCTATAGCATAATCAAATCTTTGCTAATATAGTAAGTCATTCCATAAATCGTGGCTATCATATATGCTAACATGTACATAGTCAAATCTCTGCTATTATGGTAAGTCATTCCATAAATTATGGATATCATATATGCTAACACTCCCCCTCAAGTTGGTGCATGGATATCTAAAACGCCCAACTTGGATAATGCATTCTCAAAGACAATCTTACTAACGCCCTTTGTAAGAATGTCTGCAAGCTGCTGAGAGATGTGACAAATGGAGTGCAAATTTGATCAGAGATGTTCGTCTCTTGAATGAAGTGACGGCTTCATTTGGTCCACCTCTATATGCTTAGTCCTGTCATGTTGAACGGGATCTGCTGCAATGCTAATGGCTGACTTGTTGTCGTAGTAGAGTGAGAATGAAAGCGACACTGTAAGGCACAAGTCTGTCATCAAGGTTTTCAGCCATAACAACTCACATACCCCAAGAGCCATAGCCCTATACTCTGCCTCTGCACTAGATCGAGAGACAACATCCTGCTTCTTACTGCGCTAAGTAACCAAGTTACCACCAATAGTGGTATAATAACCCGAAGTTGACCTATCTGAAACTGATCCTGCATAATCAACATCTGTCCAAGCCTCAACACGTAAGTGACCATGATTGGCAAACAAAATACCACGTCCTGGACACCCTTTAAAGTAGCGAAGGATCTGAATAGCTGCATCAAGAAGAGGGGTACGAGGAGAGTGCATGAATTGACTCACGACACTTATGGCATAAGCAATGTAAGGTCGAGTCATGGATAAATAGATGAGCTTCCCTACAAGTCGTTGATATTGACCAACATCTGACAACAACTCCCCCTCAGAATCAGCTAACCGATGATTCTGCTCAATTGGAGTATGACAAGCACCAAGCTGACCAAAAGCAGAAAGCAAGTCAAGAACATACTTGCGTTGAGAGATGAAAATGCCAGCCTTGGAGCGAGCCACCTCAATGCCCAAGAAATACCGTAGGGGACCAAGATCCTTCATCTCAAACTGACGGCCAAGATAGCTCTTAACCTCAACAATTCCGGTAGTATCATCGTCGGTAAGAACAATGTTGTCGACATACACAATTAGAGCAACTGTCTTACCGCCTGAATGGCATAAAAATAAGGTATAATTAGCTGCACTTTGATGGAAACCAAACTTGAGCATGGCAGTGCCAAAGCGATCAGACCAAGCTCGAGGAGACTGCTTGAGGCCATACAGAGAACGACGAAGACGACATACCAGAATGAGCAGGAGAATGAAAGCCCGGAGGAGGAACCATGTACATCTTCTCCTGCAAATTACCATTGAGAAAGGCATTCTTAACATCTAACTGAAATAGAGGCCAAGATCGAATTGCAGCAACGGAAAATAATACACAGATGATATTCATCTTAGCAACAAGGGCAAAAGTCTCCTGATAATCTATGCCATAAGTCTGAGCATAACCCTTGGCAACCAACCGGGCCTTGTAACGAGCAATTGACCCATCTGAATTATGCTTAACTGTAAACATTCAACGACAACCCAAAGCCTTTCGTCCAATAGGTAGCGGAACCATGTCCCAAGTCCTATTTTTCTCAAGTGCTTGTAGTTCTTTTGTCATAGCATCACGCCATTGAGGTTGTGCTAGGGCATCTGCAACAAGAGGAACCGAGTCAACACAAACAAGAAAACTTTGATAGGAGGGTGAGAGAGCTGAATCAGAAACAAAATTAGAAATAGGGTATGTACAAGAACGTTTACCCTTTCGAAGAGCAATGGGGCAATCATCAAGCGAAATAATAGCTTGAGAAGGCGGAGCTGGTGCGGAAGGAACAGGGCAGTCGATTGTGGGAGTAGAAGCTTGTACCTGTTGTCTCCGACTATAAACCTGTGAAAAAGGAACAATTCCCCGTGCTGGAGGGGTATCACGAGGAGGAATTATAGAAGACGAAACAGGTAACGGTAGAGGAGTTGAAGACGGAAGAAGGTGATTATCCATTATATTCAATGGGAATCATTCACTTTGAGAACCAACTGAACGACTATAGTAAAGTGTATGCTCAAAGAAAGAAACATCCATGGATATAAACCATTGACGACTGGGAGGATTGTAACACCTATAAACTTTTTGAGAGTGAGAATTACCAAAAACACACACTTCAAAGCCTTAGGGTCAAGCTTTGTACGAATTTGCCCCAACTGTTGAACAAAGCACTCGCGGAGGAATTAAAAAAAGAGATGAATTGGGATGTAAGATTGAGAGTGGGATTGCAAAGTTAAGAACCTTAGAAGGAGTCCTATTAATGATGTAAACAGTTGTAAGAACTGTATCTCCCCAAAATGACTAAGGAACATTCATGCCAATGCAGATTGCTCTGGCTAAGTCAAGGATGTGGCGATTCTTTCTCGCAGAACGGCCATTCTGTTGAGGAGTTTTAACATTAGCCATCTAATGTTCAATCCCAAATTCTGTACATAACCACTGTACCTCCCCATACTCCGTACCCTAGTCAAATCTGAATTTTTTAATGGTATGACCATATCGAGTCTGAACCATTGTCATAAAATTTTAAAAATGGTGTATACCATATTTTTGGTTTTCATAAGATAAACCCATGTAACACGACTATGATTATCAATGAACAAAACGAAATATCGAAATACAAGACTAGAAGTAACTGGGCAAGGACCCCACACATCTGAATGAACAAGATCAAAAGTGTTAAAGCAAATTTATTACTACTAGCAGGGTAATTGGAACGAATATGTTTAGCCATATGACATGTCTCAGAGGATAAATCTGACACTGCCACATTACAAAATAAGAAAGGAAATAAATGTTTTAAATAACCGAAAGAAATATGTCCTAAACGCATGTGCCAATGCATAAGCTGGGCTTTATTAGATGAAACAAAATTAGAAAATGAAGCTGAATGTGCTTGGGGTGACGAAGGAGCATCCAACAGATATAGACCGTCCACTTCACGCCTACTGCCAATCGTCCGTTTCGACACCAGATCCTGAAAAATACAATGAGAGGGAAAGAACGTTACACTACAATTTAATTATTTGGTAACGCTACGAACAAAAATAAGATTTGTAGTCAACTGTGGAGCATGAAGTGTATTTGACAAAGTTAATGAAGGAGTAACTGATATGTGAACCTTCCCAGCAATGGAAGATGGAGAGCCATCCGCAAGGCGTACCTTGTGATGGCCAGAGCAGATACTACAAGATTGGAAGAATGAGGACATGCCAGTCATATTGTTTGAAGCACCAGAATCAATGATCCATGGTGTCGAAGATGTAGATACTCTATATGCGTACACAATAGTACCTGAGTGGCCATAAGTGGAGGTTGGCTGAACTGAATAAGTGTGTTGAACTGAATCCCAAATCTGCTTAGTAGTTTTCATAACATATAGCCAATAGCTTTGTTTGGCTGCATCGAATTGACTAGCCAAGACATCTCCATAGCGTTATTTGCAAACCACTGTGGATATGCCTTCTCTGACTTAGCTGGCTCTTTCTCAGAACCAGTAATAAAGGTAATCTTTCCTTTGCCACCAATGAACATCTTGGCAAACTGTGCCCAAATCAAATAGTTGTAACCATCCAACTTCACTGTGGTGATTTGAAGTCCTGGATTTTCTGATGAGTTGGTGGGAAAAATGACACCACCACCCACAAAACTTGAGCCAAGAAAATTAACAGTCGAGGACCCTGAATCTGCCATAATCTGTCACACGACAATCAAAAACTCCATAAACAATACAAATTCTATTAATAAATCAAAGGGTCTCCTCAGACCATAAACAATAACAATGTCTCCTCAGACCATTTTCGAAAAATCCAAATACATTCTCTTTTTAAGGAGCGCTGCCCGCTAACATATAGCCAAACAACCTCCTCCTTAATATCCGGAACCTCTTTGTAGACTAGTTTTTATTTTTTATTTTTACCCAAGCCCTTCTAGGTGTTGGAGACCAACTATCCCAATTTACCCAACCCTAGAAGACTAAAAAAGAAATTGTAAAACTTAAAAATACCTGATCACAAAACAGCAACACAGAAAAACATGTGTAGGCAACGTCACACGATGTCACAAACAGCCTAAGGTGGCTGTCGCACAAGTAGCAAGGCTTCTGAAAGGTGTTGGCTCTGATATCAAGTAGAAATATAAAAAGAAGAAAAAAGGAGAGAATTGTGTAAAGGCTTGAATGAGATAAATCACTCATTCACAGCTCTAGTATTTATAGATAAAAAGAGCACATGCTCATATTACAAGAAAAGAAACAATCTAAATC